AAAATTTTGAAAACAACACCTAACTGGTCTGCAAAAATTTTTAAAAGCAACTGAAAATTGGAAAATGCAAGTCTACTAAATAGAAATATACAGCAAAATATTGGTTTCAGTTTCTAATTTCCAAAATTTTAGAAGTGATACCAATCAGCACTCAGGTCATTGGCATATACAGGATGGAGCTTTAGTATCAAATATATTTGATATTTGATATTTATATTATCATAGTAGATTTAGAGTTTCTTGATTAGTGATTTTCTTAGTTAATGAGTCACCTAAAGTATTTATAAAAGCGGTAATGTTATAATTAAAATACTATATAAAATTATAAATTTATAATTATAATGTGACATTAAATAAATGTGACATACTATTAAATAACTAGATGTATATCTAAATAAAAAGAATCAATTATATAATAACATATATCATAATTTAAGCTTACAATATCACATCGTATTATAATTATATCATTTTTGATATAAAGGGCTTCTATATATTCAATTCATTGTCTCGCATTTGAGTATCATGGCCTAACAGTTTTACACCTATTTTTACATCTATGGTAAGGTGCATCCCTCCAGTTTTAAGGTTAAAATTTAAATCCCTCATCTCCAAATTATAAACTGCTCAAATATATATATATATATATATTCAGTTCATTATCTCAATATCATAGAATATAATGCCCTTTTTTCATATTTCTCTCCTATTTTTTTCATGCTTTAATTTTCTATACAACAGACAGAGAAAATTGTTTTCCATTTCTAATTTCCAAAAATTTATAAGTAACACCAATCAGATCATTGGCACATACAAAATAGTACTTTTAATGTCAATCGTGTCCTTATCTTGTTTGCTACATGTGATTGTCTGTCATGGACACTGAAATGTGACAAGCACCTATCTTTTCTAATCTTTGTTTTGTATGTGTTCTCCCATTAAGCCTTTTTTCTAGTCCCAGAGACATTTGTTTCAATTGTAAATCGACAATCACACGTCTAACAATCGTTTATAATAGTCACATAATTGATTTATAAGTCCTACCGAGTGAAAAAAACAAATAAATAAAGATTACATTAATGAAAATGAGTAAAAATTAATAAAAATTAATTAAAAATTAAAAAATTATATTTTTAAATAAAATATTATCCGAAGCAGTGATAAGTTAGAATTTGAAAGAAACAAGAAAATGGGAATAGTTTCTACCATATCTGAACTCACGTAAGAGGATCCCATTCAACGGACAAAATAGTAACAAAACCTGTGAGAACAAACAAATTAAAGAAATCAACACGCCACCAAGCCAACACTACTCATCTCCATACATTGAACCTCTCATACTGTCTCTTTCCTAGTAATGACACCTAGTCACTAGTAGTTCTAGTAAGTAGTAGGAGTAACACCTAGTCAAAGGAAACAAATAGTTGAATCCGGACTAAGTTACAATTCTATTAAATTCTGGTTGCTTTGCCTTATTTCTTTGGTGGGTATTTAATGGCATTGAGTTCAACCTTGCGCAGGGCAGCTTTACCCAAGTCAATTCCACAGATGTCAGAGAGCCTGACTAGGTAAAGCAGGACATCAGAGAGCTCCTCACCGAGATGCACTTTCTCTTCATCTTTCCAATCAGGTAGACCTTTTGGAACCTCACCTTTCCATTGAAATATCTCTGAGAGTTCTCCCACTTCACCCACCTGTGGAATCATCACATTTGACCCAAAAAAAAAAGGTCATTTTTTTCAGACACTTGATTTATGGGTTTAATGATTGACAGCAATACATAATCAGCTATTTGGGTTGGTGGGGTTATCGGAAGGCATTTATTCTTACACTCACACCAATCCCGAAAAGTTTGAAACTTGATAAAACCCTAACTTGGTGAGCAAGAAAGTACAAACAGGGAAAAAATATATATAAGAGGAAAAGAACTCACCTTCATAGAACAACAGGGTAAATTAGTGATTCTAATCCCTTAAATCCTAATAAATTTCTGCAAATCCACCTTGTTTTTTACAATACACATTCCATGAAATCTCCAAAATCCCAGTAGAAAAATAAAAAAATACAGAAAATTAATAGAAAAAATAGTGCTTTAAGCTAGTGATTTTCCTTCTTTTTGGATTATAAAAAGCAGAGAAAAGGGGATTGTTCGGCGGCATACAACCTCAAACCCAAAACAGACATGGATTAATTAACAAGCATAAAGCAAGAAAAAAAATGATCTTATACCATACCAGAGCCAAAAGGAGATTTCTAGGGCTATGAAACTTATCCCAATCCCTCTCCTTAGCAAAATCCGCCATTTTTTTCTTGAGAAGATCGAGAGTCACACTCTCCCCTTGTTCTTCAACCCCATTCATATTTTCCAGAGAAATGACAGAAAACAGAGAAAAGAAGCGATTGAGAAACAGAGATAAGAACAAGTGAAAATTTCTTGGAAAGAAGTGAAGAATAAACGAAAGGGAACTAGTGGAGAGAACAAAGGGTATGTTCTGCCGTGTACTAGGGTTGTTGTCGTTTATAAACGCCCATACCATAATTTTCCAGGACATCGGGGCCGAGGGAGGCTACGGGCTATCGCCGGTTTGTCATGGCCGTCACATTAATTGTCGTTTGTGGGATGTCACTGACACGTGGAGGTAGATTTCAGTCAACGCGGGATTGTCATCTCCACCCTTGGGCTACCACGTGTCTATGTACGAAGTGCATTGTGTTTTCTTGTGTCGGGCATTATATGCAGATAAAGCTTTTTACATTTTTGTTTTATTCTGTAACATTTTTTTATTAAATATTTTGCCCATAAATATGTATAATATTACAAATTT